TATGAAGATGTTGACGACACAACTGTTCCTGCAAGTGAAGTAAAGTCAGAGGAACCGAAAAGTGACGAAAAACGATAGAAGAAGAAAAACCAAAAACTGAAGATAAACCAAAACCAAAGTTTAGTTTCCAAACTAAACCAAGTCAACCTTCATTAGCTGGTATGGGTTGGCGTCAAAGACTTATGGCAGCAGGCGGTTATGTAAAGTAAAGAAAAAAATTTTATTTTTATAAAAATGCCCCCATATAGAATGGATAGAAAGTCTGCTAGAATAAAAGCAGAGTTACAAAGATATGGTTGGAGAGTTTCGAAGAATTTTAAATATAGGAAGGGAAGACCCATAAAAGTCTATGACAAATTGTCTGGTCTTCGCTACGAAATGGATTTGGAAACAGCACGTGCCAATTATCCAAACAGACTAGAGAGGTTAGAAGAAGAACGTCTTATGGACATGCCTTTCGATGTTAGTGAACCTCAAGTTGAAGGACACGACGGCTTTGCCAGATTCTACTGGAAACATGACGAACAATTGCATCCTTTGAGAAGGAAAAAAGGAAAAGGTGAAGACACACATGCTCCCATGGAAAGAACAAGATATGCATATGAAAAGTATCGTGAAGTTAGAAGTCAAATTACATCTGGTCGAACCTTTACAGTAAACTTTGACGAAGGAAAGAACAAAGAAGGCTTCATGGGTGTACTTGCTGCATCAAGACGGAAATAAGAAAGGACACAATCTCAGATTGACCATAACAGATTTGGATGGTCACATTTACTATGCACATGGCAATGAACAAACAGCCGCAAAACTTCTTGACGCTTTCAAGACTACAAAGAGAGAACAAATGGTTGACTCCGACTCAGACATTTTGAATGCAATTGAAGGAATTGCAAGTGTCAAGTTCGAATGGTACCAACCTAACCCTCAAGCAGTCAGACAACATGCTGGATACTTCCCTTCATAAATAAGTCTGACATTGACTTGACAAGGTATGGAATTTACAATTCAATTGAAACAATTGTCAACGAACCTTGCATTCTTACATGTCTCAGGAACTCTGGTCTTGTTACAGATGAGAAGATGAAGTATCTTGAGTCATGTGTGAAGACAAGGTACATTCTCAGAGGTCAATTGGCAAAAATTGCACCGTTGGCAAATGTCAATATCCGAGTCAACATACCTACAGCTAAAGGTTCTTCACATGACGACTATGTTGTTGACAAAGACTTACCATGGTTGAAGATTGTAATTGTCCACAACCACTTCATGTTGAACGAAAGTCTTACAAACCCATTCTTTGGTAAAAGTAAGTGCAACATTGTCAGAGCTGTAAACATTCTTTTCGAGAAAGGTTTGTTGGAACCAATTCCAGATGACAAGCTGACAGAAATTTTGTACCAAAAGACGAAACAAACTTTTCATTGTTAGCAAGACCAAAAGTTGTTCCAGACAAAGTTCTAGTACAAAAGAAGTACACAGTTCCACAAGGAGTTGGTATGTTCGGATACCAACCTGAACCAGAAGAACTTCCAATGAGGTTGCAAGAACTTCAAGATGCTATAAACAAACTTCCATTGAGACATCCAATTGACGTCAAATTGTATTGGAGAGCATCTGAGTTAGGTCAGAAGGTTTTATATGAAACAGGTTGCTTCGACGATGTTTATGAGATAACAGGAGAAGTTTCTCAGAAGATAAGAGACTCACTTGAATTTCCACAAACTGGACCAATTGGTTGCGACAAGTTCGACTCAGATGAAAAGATATACTATGTCGACCTTAACGCTGCATACATGAGGTTTGTCCAATATATTCCGACTGGAATTCCAAACGAAGATGGTGAGTTCCCGGGAAGGAACTATACAGTTGGAAAAGTCATACAACAACTGTATGATATTAGGAAAGCTTCAAACCCCAAACTTGCAATGACACTCAAATTGCTTATGAATTCGACATGGGGATATTCCATTAAGAAACCTCAAGAGATGAAGAGTAAACATTATGAGAAGGTCGACAACTTTGTTGAAAGGTTTTCTCCTTTTGTTTTGAAGTACGAATTCACTCAAGGTCAAAGTGGCTTAGTAACCACATTAAAACCTATTGTCGAACATTGGTCTTACCCTCAGTTCGCAAAGGCAGTACTTGACAACTACAACAAATTCTTCTCCGAAGTCAAATCCAAAGTGAAGGTTTACTATGAGAACATTGACGCACTCATGACGAACGAAGAAGGCTATAACAAACTCATTGAAATGGGTTTAGTCGGTGAAAAGATGGGCTGTTTTAAGCTAGATAAGGTATTTTCCGAAGTTCATGTAATATCGAAAAGGAAATATTGGGGCATACTTGAAGACGGCACAGAAATAAAACATTGCATGAAATAAAAAATTTATTTTTAAAAAAGTGACATTTTTTTAATTTTATTTGAAATGTACGCTGAGTTTGTTAGTGAACCTCAAGTTGAAGGAAACTTGTTTGTTAGATGAGAAATATGAAATGGCATACCATTTTAAAACAATATATTTTTACATATATTAAATGCTTCAGGTTGAAAAACAAAGAACAAAAGTAGCAGATACAAAACCGTTAGACTATATCTTTACAAATGCTGGTAGGACTATTTCAGATGAAGAAATTTCATCCCGAGCATACAGGTTTGACTATCCAATTCGTTGGCTTCAAAGTCCTTCAGATGCAAAGGCAATAGGATTTAGAAGAGTTTTGTTTTCAAATAGAACTAACGCATTTATGTTCGCAGTATATTTTCATGGGCAGTATGAAGGTTCTGATGGTCTAATAGACAAATTTGACGAAATGAGAATCTTTACAGTTCGTTCAGACGAAAGTCTTGAGAAAACTCTAGATGACTTTCAAACTCAAATGAACAAATATTATTGGGAATTTCAAAAAAAATACGACTCTTTACTAAATGGAACATACTATCTGAAACTAGAATATGACAAGATGAACTCCACCGTTTCATTTCAAAAGATTGAAATTAACCCTCCAAGAGATACAGAGTTTTTATTTTGGGAAGTAGACAAACGTTCTTGGGCACAATTTTTTCGGTTACTAAACCAGAACGAGCCATTACCACCAGATGGTCCATTTAAATTTATACTTCCACCAGCAGATTTGATGGTTTATAGAAACGTGTTTGACCCTCAAAATGTTATGTGTCATGCAAGTTTCAGTTCAAGCAACAATAGTTTTCTATGTATTGGTAAGGACCTTTATGACTTTGCTTCTAAATTCTACGAACCACCTAGTAACAGTTTCTCTGACTTTCAAGTTTGGTTCACAACAAATGGTGTGCAACATATTATTCCATTGTACTATGACTTTTATCTCGAATTGTCTTTCATATATAACTACGGAAAAGTGCTGAAAAAGTATTGAATGTGAAGATATTAGAAAATAACATTTTTTCTAACATCGTAGAAAACTCATGAAAACAATTTATTTTTGACACTTTCACAAAAAACATAAAAAAGTGAGTTAAAATGAGATGTTTACTGAACTGGCTGAATGTCGCCTTCTGAGGTTATGTAGAACGGCTGACCAGAGAAGTGAAGGAGACCCTTGAGAATTTGTATAATTCGTGGAATTGGACTCTCTCTGTTTGGAAGTTGTATCCATGGGCGCTTTGCAAAGAACTTAACAAGAGCTTCTTTCTTTGCTTGCTTTATGTCGTCGAAAGGAGTGCCTTCTGGTACCTCAATTGGAATTCCAGTCGAAATCTCGAGAGTCACGGCAGCCCTTCCCGTTATCCAACCGTTAACAAGCTTGCCTTTTACATTCTGCCTGAGGAAGTCTTTAACAAGCTCGTTAAGTTCAATGAGGTAAATTGCCTCGTCAAGTCTTTCTTGCATTCCAAGTTCTTCCATCCGACAGGAAAAAATTTTCCGGACAAAGGGAAAAAAATTTCCTTCTGACAGGAAGAACTCTTCCATCCGACAGGAAAAAATTTTCCGGACAAAGGGAAAAATTTTTCCTTCCGACAGGAAGAACTCTTCCAGTTGTCCGTCCGTAAACCATTCAAATTTTCGAAAATTGAGAACTTTTTGGTCGAACTTTAGAAAAAATTTTCCTTCCGACAGGAAAAGTTCTTCCTTCCGACAGGACACAAACGGATGACTGACGTTCCTCTTCCTGAATGCCTTCCAAAGCCAGAGGAACCTAAGGCACCAGCCCCTGCACCTCAGTTCCAGCAAGTACCTCCGAATTACTACCAATTTCCACCTCAAGGTTACTACCCACCACAAGGCTTCCCGAACTACCCTCCTCAGCCTATGCCTTACTTCCCCAACCCTTGGTTGTTCCAGCAAGTTCCACCCCAGCAATTCCAATCTCAATCTCAGTCCAAGAGAGACCAAGACTTCGAAGAAGGTCTGAACCGCTTACGCAAAGAGTATGCTACAGCTCCAATTGAGAGAAAGTTGTTCCCGGACCAAAAAATATAATTTAGGTGAAGAGGTGAGATTTCACCTCTTTTTTCACCTGTTTTTTCACCCTCTTGAATTTTCATGAATTTTATATATTAATGTTTTCGTTATGTCACTTTGTGCCGTCAGTCAGTCAGTCAGTTTAGGAAAGACTTTAGAAAGTTGTTGGAAAATAAGTCCTGGGAAGAGTATTATAAGGCATTTTGTGAAGAATATAGCAACCGCCGGAATTCGGACTGTTGCTTTTTATACAAAATTCATACAGGAAATTCTTGAGTTTTGGTTGAAAGAATACGGTGGAGCCAAAAGTGGCTCGACCTCAAAACAAGCATTTTATGAGCTTACTAAGGGCGTTATAAATGAATTCAAAGGTATTTACATACATCCTGATCTCGTTCATTTTGTTGCTGAATTCAGCAAAAATAATGTTTAGGGTAGATGGTTAGATCTAACCTCATTTCTACCCTCTTGAATTTTCATGAATTTCCTTAAGATAGAAAAAATAAAGTTAGTTTTATTTTTATTTATTTTTTTATTTTGTATAAAAGAACAGAAATGTCAACAATCGGCACAACAACAATTCAAACAACAGCACCAAACTCGTTAGTCATGAATCCAACATCTATGTTAGTAGAAATGAAAAGCTTCATTCCTTCTTCATATACTTTCGAAACAGAAATACAAAGAATAAAGCAAGAACTTTTAACAAGTAATTTAGACTGTAGTGCGAAAGATGAAACAAATGAACAGTATCTTTATGAAATGGAGGATCTCATCGACCATTTGCCTAAACTACCTGAAATTCAGCAGCAAAAACTAACTATTCCTGAATTCGACGAAATTGAAGTCAAAACAACTGACTCAGTAGAAATAAAGAAGTTCATACGAAAGGTAAATTATGAGTTTCTAGGATATCATTGCAACCATAAAGTTATGGACAAAGATTGCGACATGTTATATAAGAACATCTCTGACATATATAAATCGGGGGGTTTAAGACATACGACAACTTTGTTTCATTAGCTGCAAAATGTGTATGGCAGATAAGAGATAAAGATAGAAGAGGTAAGGTATGGAATGAACAGATAAAACCAACTGCTTCAGATTTAAAGAAAACCATTGACGCCTTGGTTGTTTTAGCAGGTAAGGTTTCAGAATATAACGCAAAAATGAACCCGCAATGTTCTAAATGTAAAGCAGCAATTAGGAAATATAACTATTCAGTAAAAGAGATAGAAAGAATGAGAAACGACTATGCAGATTTAAAGAGGGAGGCAGAGAAGCCGGTAGAAAATAAAATGAACATGTTAGAATTTCTGAACAAAAACTATCCAACTGCTGACGATTTCCTTCTATCTGACGTCAAGAAGACGTATAAAGAAACTTTCGGTATCGTTAAAACATTCGATGTACTAAAAGAAGAAATAGAAGCTACAAAACTGTTTAGGATTTCAAATATACATCGTACAATTCATGTAAAACGCTTGTGAAAAAAAGAGGTGAAAAATTAGGTGAAAAAAGAGGTGAAATCTCACCTCTTCACCTAAAATATATTTTTATTGAATTCAGCAACAAAATTCTGAGTAAAATAATTTTTAGGGCATGTGTCAAACCGTTGAGTTTTCAGAAAATTTTAAAAATAACGTTTACCATGTAAAACGTTTATAAAATAACTGGGGTAGAAATGAGGTGAAAAAACAGGTGAAATCTCACCTCTTCACCTAAACATTATTTTTATTGAATTCAGCACAAAAATCATGAATTTCCTTAAGATAGAAAAAATAAAGTTAGTTTTATTTTTATTTATTTTTTTATTTTGTATGTAAAGACAGATATGTCAACAACAGAGAACACAACAACAGTTATAGTCCATGAAGCTATAAATGAAGAATACGAGTACATACAGTATAACAAACAGTTACGTCTCATTCGTTCAGTCAAAGACGATATGTACCAAATGCAAAGTATTTTGAATGCTCTTCGTTCTACAAAGCAAGCATATCATTGGTTTGAAAACCAACAGACAAAAGAACTTTTAGAAGAATTTCCTCATATGATTGCTTCCCTCGGAAAACCGAGAGAAGAGATTCCGTACGAAAATCGCAAGAATTTGGCTCCTGGTTTGAAAGGATATTATGTTCATAGACTTTTAGTAAATGCTGTAGCAATGTGGGCTTCACCTCGTTATGCTTGTTATATTTTCATGATGTTAGATGAACTATATAAAGCAGAACGCGAAGAGATGGAAAAGAAACTTCAAGCAAAAAACAAAAGCATTCAGAAAAGAATACCACGTTCGGTACCAAAAGGAAAGGAAAAGAGTTATAGGTATATGATATATACTGAAGAGTTGGAGAAAGAAGAAGATAAAGATATGGTTATGTTGCATTTAGTCAGAAGAAACAACAAGAGCTTTTATGACTTAGCTAAAATATATAAATCTGACAGAAACTGGTTCTATCGCGAAAACTTACCGATTTCAATGACCCCAAATGAAGATGTGAAACAAATAGTTCAAGATACGTTACCTCAAACACACTATGATATGAAAGGTTGTACAATACTTACCTTCAAAGAAGACTTACCGCTACTGAAAGAAAAAATAACAGAGTATTTTGACAACTTCAAACAAGTAGGGTAGATGAACCATTTATTTTTATTGACTTTTTACAATTTGAACTTTGTTCGCGTAGATATGAATTCTGAAAGAAGTATGAGGGTCTTGTATGACTTTGTACTTCTCCCATAGTCCATGTCTGTCAAACTTACCTGCCATGGACTCTTTCATAAGTTCCATGAAATCGTCTTCGGACAATCCGGGGAAAAGTATTATGTCAGTAAGTATTCTTTTAACATCCTTACTTAAACTCTTTGCTGTCTGTACACAAATGACAACTGAGATGTTAAAGTGTCTGAGCTTCTTAAGAATTCGACACATGTCTTGTTCTCTGTTCTTTAACAAAGGATGAGAAGCAAAGTCATCTAAGATAAGAAGACATCTATGAGGGTAAGTCTTCCAATCGTAAGATTGCAATTTCTTCGAAATGTATTCTATCTCTTTCTGTTTGTTTCTGAAGTGTTTCTTCTCTAATATTCTCTGCATTTCCTCATTTGGGTCTTTAAACTTAGAATTTATATACTCATTTATAGCATTATACTTCAAAACTCTTCTTTGGTACTTCTTTATCCAATCTAACAACTCAGTATCCTTTATACATACTAACTTAGACTTCTTTATAATATCTTTGAACGAATTGACGGTTTGGTCAAATTGACCAGAAGTCGAACAAATAACAACTAACTCATAGAATGGGTTCTTCTCATCTAGTTCTTGTTGTTGTGCAGCCATTTTAAGATAAGTGAAAGTCTTACCCGACCCAGGTGGTGCAATTAGACCTGTTATACCATTCTGAGCAAATAAGAACTTGTCATGTATAGGCTTTATCTGAGCATTTTCTAACTTCACCTTGTTCTTATTTAAAACATTCTCAAATTTCTTGTCAATGTCAGCAAACTTTTTTCTAACATATTTTTAGAAAAATTAAAATTTTTATCTTTTAGAAAATGTCTAGCGATTTCGCTATCTATATTCGAGACAAGCTTTTTGACAGCAAAACATCTGTCGACCATAAAATCTTACATAGTGTAAACAAGAAAGGTGAATTTGTTCTAAAGTTCTGTTTCTGGGAATATGACAAGAACCATAAAACATTACAAAGAGCAGTCTTAAAATTTGTCAATGACAGACTTGTTGACAGAGATGACGCCGATTGGAAAGATGAAGTCCAACAAAAGTTCTTAGAATGCAAAGAAGACACATGCGCTGTTCTTGAAGATGAAATAGAAAACAGAATAGATGAGCTATTAAAGGACAAAGAACTTTTACATAAATATGGTTCTGAGAAATTTGACATATCTCCACCAGAAAAGAAGAAGAGAGAAAAGAAAGAAAAGAAAGTAGAAGAAGAGAAGAAAGAACCTGAACCAGTTCCAGAGAAAAAGAAATTTGACATGTAAAAATAAAATTTTATTTTTAGAACATTTCTGGGTCAATGTCAATGTTCTCTTCCTCTTTAGGAGTAAACACTGGCTTAGACTCTAAAATCTTTTTACCCAATTTACCTTGAACTTTCAACTTTAGACTCATAATATTCATAGTCGTCTGCTTTCTTTGGTTCATAAGGTATAACAAGTTTGTATGCTTTACCTTCTTTCGAGGTTTGAGAACTTCTGTCAAAATTTTCTTTGACTGTCAACATACCGTTATGTCTAAGTCTTCAAAGTTGCACCATTTTTTAACAACAGCAAACTTAACTGGTTGCGATGTTCCAAAATTTGCTGAATGTAGACTTTTCAAAATGTAGAAGTAAACATTCAAATATGCGAATGGAGCTAACTATCTTTGACTTCTGTCATGTACTTATTTACTGAGATGAATTTTCCATCTTTTCTATCGGATAAAAAATATTTTTTTAAAATTTACTCAGAAAAAATTTTCTTTGTATATACACCATTCTGAACATCTAAAAGACTTTTGACATTTGCCAAGAATGTACGTTTAAAGCTGCCATATAACCATATTCTTGACAATATTGTTTATACGATCGTACAATGACCTTTCATCTAATGACACAAAGTCAGTTTCATCTATGAACAGTTCATATACACTCTTGTTTGCTTCTAACAATGTTTGTCTCTCTTCGGTATGTGGAATTTGTCTTGGATTGAACTTAGAAATATCTAATGTCATGAAATATGAGAACAAGTGGTTGTTTAAAAGTCAGATGTCAAAGTTTCTGCTAAGTCGTCAAAAATATCTGTATCTTGCATATGGAATCTGACGTTTCTGACAACTACATATCTTCTGTCAGAACTTTCTAACTTCATCGGAACAGCATTGTTTGAAACCATAATGAAGTTTGCAACATTTTCACAAACTCTTTGGTCTTTATTACTTTCTTTCAACAACTCCAACTTTGTCTGTTATAAGACTCTTCAAAGCATCTGAGTTCAAAACTTTTGTTGTATCTATACTTTGAAGTTCATTGCAAACTATAAGTTTCATATTCTCTATTGAGGAGTTAAACTTGCCACAGATGTTTTCTAAGTTTGTCATATTCGGATTCGAATAACCTTCTAACAGTTTGCACAAAATATCTGTAAAGAAAGTATTCTTACCTGTTCCTTGTTTTCCAATTATAATGAGAGCAGTTTCATTTTTAGCACTTGGATGTTGTAAGATGTTTGCAAACCAACATAAGATATACTCATAAACCTTTTCGTTTCCATTGCATATAATTTCTTTGACATGGTCTAACCAAGCTTCTATAATATTTTCTTTCCATTCTACTTGTTCATATTTATATCCAGTGAAGATAGAATAGAAGTTTGGAGAAGGTGTATAGAACTTTATACCTCGAACTGAAAAATCTTCTAACTTTGACAATAAGATATCCCAAGCATCTAACATCTTCATGCCAACTTGTACGACTTTTATTTTCTTAAGTTTCTGTCTACATTCTTGTTCAGACACTATTGTTGCTCTTGGTTTGTTAAAGACAACATCCCATTCTTTCATGACATAACATTCTGGGCAGAGTCAACATAAATGACTAAACGTTTCAAATTCTCGACTGCTTTGTTATAGTCTCTAAATGGACACATATTTCTGAATGCTTGGAAGTCATAAAAATCTGAAACATCTATTCTGTACATTTTTATAAAAATAAAAAAAATATTATTTTTTATTCTTGACTTTGTTGTTCCATTTGTTGCATTTGTTGTTCTTGAGCTATTTGTTGTTGAAGTTGTTCTTGTAATACAATACTTTCACCAGTTGCATCTTCCAATTCGAAACTTTCTGCCGTCATTGACAAATACATAGGACATAAAAGTTTTACAGGAACAAAGTTTGCGTCAACTAATGTCAACGTTATACTTGCCAAAGTGTTTGAGTTCACTAAGTGTTTGAAAATTCTGCATTCGAATGAACAATAGGCAAACCAGCAGAGAAAGTATTGTTTATACGCATAAGTATCTTTTGGTCATAATAGTTTCTGTCGACATTCGAATAACACTTTGAACCTAAGTTTGAAACAATATATAAGATTGGTGTGCTTAATGTCAATGGAATAGACATTCCTTGTATGACACCTTTTCCTGTTATAGGAAACTGTTGGTAGTAAAAACCAGATATAAGTTTTGTATTATACTCATATCATTAATAGTAAACTCAGTCGGACATCCAAACATAATGAAACCTGCTCTAGTTGCAGCACATGTTACACCGCGTACTTAAAGTATTAAATAAGTCAACAAAACCTGTTGGTGTATATCTGAGTAAGTATCTTCAAAGGAGTATTTTTTACCATTCAAACAATAAAGTCTTCTGGTGTCAAAAGAGCAAAAACAGCTTTAGTCGTCATTGTGTTTAAGGTTAGTTTACAATATCGTCCTTGAGGACTTTGTAAGTTTGTTGTTATAGAATTAT